CTGATATATAATTGTCTCGCGAATGCAACGCGAAATCGGGCGACTCGACGGAAAATCGGTTGGGGGTGCGTACGCAGGCACGTACGTTTAAGAGGGCTCTCGATCGGAGAAAAGATTCATCCGCAAAAAAGACGATTCGCGGCGGGGGAACGAAGCGACGGCGGTTCGTTAGGGGGTCAGGATCAATGGGATTCGTCGCGGTGCTCGTAATTTTATGGGATTCCGTAACAACAGCGAGCGCATCGTTTGGTATCGAGAAGGATGGGGAGGGATCGGTGAAGTGGAGAGAAGTCGTCTTGTTAAAAGTAGCCCGCCTCATTGCCTCCGATATCTGGTAGAGGTACGCTCTCCTCTTCTGTCAGGGTTGCTCGAGAATCGAGCATCTCAATAGCCACTCGAACCTCCCACCGTACCGTCTTGTTACACCACACCAATTGCTGAATTTTCTCTCCTACATACACCTTTATTATACGCCGTGTACAACTTTAAAAACCTCGACAGATCGATAAACTCTTCTTCCATTCCATTTCCATTTCTTCCTTCGCTTCCTCTTCGTCCAGGAAAAGAAGAAGAAGAAGAAGAAGAAGAAGAAGAAGAAGAACGGATAGGCAAATGCAATTGGAAAGTGTGGGGGCTGGCAATACTGCGGGACGGGGTTGGTTACAATGGCGGGAAACGCAAGGCAGGCATATTTCGTGGGAAACGGGAGACAATCGTACAATACGTATTCCTCTATCGCATATTTGCCTTTACGCAATTCTGCTCGCGCTCTCGCGCGATATTACGCAATCACGATTTATCCGGGCTCCGCTTCATAATCCGCTCGATTCCGAGCAACGGTTGCAAACTTTCATTTTCGAGGCTGCTGCATTCCGAAAAAAGGAATTTTTATCCACCGGCTCGAAACTTTTTCCTCCTCTCTTCTTCTCCTCTCAGGGAGAGGAGAGGAGATATTGGATCGGTAGAAAGAGGGGGTTGGGATACGATTTATGTCTAAATTTATTCACCGAAAACAAAACGCATCAGATTTGGTCCGGTGGCCCGAAGCGACCGCCGCTCTCCCTCGACGCAACTTACCACAATTTTATTCGTTTTTACATATGGCCCGGCCAGCGATAAGAAAATGCCCCATGATATTTCACGTTTTTATACGCGGACGGTTTTGCCTTGAGGTGTTGGCTGGCCTTGCGCCCCCTCGCTATAGGAACGTTACGTGGCCTGGCTAGCGCCTGATATGCGAAATAAGTAGCCCCGGGCCATTAGAAACCCGTAGCCTCGTTAACTCGATACACCGTAATCCCGAAACTCGTCCACGAAGATGGCCTCCTCCTCCTCCTTCTCTTTCTTCCAGAGAGAGTAACTCGTCCCTTTATCGAGTCACGTCGATTCTCACGGGGTTACTACGAATCTGCCAGTTTCCCCAAATTTCGACGCGTAAAAAATCGTAATTTCTTCTTAGAATTACGGTCGTGGAAGCTAACTTGTCGAAGCTAAAGTCGTAAAGATTTAACCGTATAAGCTTTCTCTATAATAATAAGGGTGAGCAAGAAATTAATAAGTTTATTCTTCTGTTTATTAAGTGAACGCCCAAATTACTAGTTTTGTGAAAGTGTTAAAAGAAGTATATAAATAAAAGACTTGTATTTGGTGAGTTGTTCAAAAATTTTTAAGTTTCAATAATTTATTAGTATCATGGCTTTGATGATTTTCCTGAAAAATTCCTAGAATCTTATATTCATTCTTCCGATGCAGAATTGGTAAATAGAGCAGCATGACGAGGAATCGCGTCTGTTTTGAAGAATTCAAGAACGTATTCGTCGTTAAATTTTTAATTCGGAGGAATTGGAGGCAAAGAGAACAACTCGTTGTATGAAAATGATCGATCATCGGATGGAAAGAGAGGATATTAAACGGTTCGACGAACTCTGGAAATATTTTCGACTCTCGGGACTCCTTTGGAACTCCTTACACGTTGCCTTCCATTTCCTTCCTAGTTTCACCCCTTTCGTGTCAATCTCGAAGAAGGAAGAAGGGAGTAGGGCATTGTTGCGTCGAAATTGTGCGTAACTACGACAATAGTTGGGCAGGATTGGCGGAATTAATGAAAACTCGCGCTTGGGGGAGAAGAAAGGGGGATGAAACGTTGGAGAAGAGGAAGGATCGGCTAATCGTGACAAATACTGATCCCGGATTGCCGAATTATAAACTAACGTCTTGAGCAAACTTTCTCCCCTTCTCGCCAATCGAACGCCGTTTCGTGAGCTTCCACGATCTTGCTCATATTGATCCGCTTTCTTTCCTTTCCTTTTCTCTTTTTCCGCGATTAATTGAATTCAAGATCAAATCATCGTTCAATTATCATCAATTTATTGTTAAATTTTCGAATCTAACATGCGCTTAAACAGGTGCAATATTTTTCTCTATATTAAGTGCGTTACAAAATACGAACAACAATTACAAACTTTCTTTTTTTTTTTCTTTTTTTTTTTCCCCCCGACAGAACCGACGTTCCACTGAATTTTCGTTTTCGATAACTCTCATCGCTTTGTTCGAAGTAAAAAAAGAAGAAGAAGAAGAAGAAGAAGAAGAAAAGAAGAAGAAGAAGAAGAAGAGCGATAATATACACGGTGGACGAAAGAAAAGCACTGTTAAAATTTTGTCGAACGAGAAAAAGAAAGAAAGAGGAAAGAAAAAGAGGTATATATATCTCTCTCTCTCTCTGTAACGAAAAACAGACGCGAAATTGGCTGGGATAGCTGATAATACAGTTGAGGGGGTAGCGACGACGAACCAGCCGGCAGAGAGAGGAAATTGGATGATATTTCCCGTGACGATCAAACCTTATTGCCAATTGAAACGGCAAAGTTTTGCGGTACGTTTAGCGTGGGGTGGGATCGGCGATAAGAAAAGAAGAAATCGGATCGTTTCGCGCGTAATTATAAATGCAAATGCGATGTATACACCGTAACGCGAGCAAACGAGTAACACGGGTAAGATAAAAAGCGAGGATAGATAGAAAAAGAATAGAAAGAAAAAGGAAAAAGGCTTGTTCGAATCGGTAATTTTTTCCCCCCTGAGCGACCGATAAGTAACGATGCGACGATATTTCGTTTCATTTATCGAATCTCTCCCATCACGAGTGATATTATCCGATAATGCCGAGGAGAAAGGTCGAGCGTGGGAAGAACTTTTGTATATATATATATATATACAAAAGTTCCATTCCGATCCCCCAATCATAATTTCATATATCAGAATCCGCGCGCAAGGTCGCGAAAAGATGGCATGTAGGGAGAGACGCAGCCGGGGTATAATGAGAGGCAGAAAGCGTCAGCGGCGTCTAATGTCGGAAATTATAGCATATTGCCAATAAAATCCCCGGGCCAGGGCGTCCGCCCTTGTACGAGCCAACTAAACAGGTTTCTCCCGATGCTCGAAGGGGGGGATGGCCTTATTGTAACGAACATTGGAACCACGTTTTGCCATTACACGAGATCTCGTCCCGGGGGAACGACCGATACCACCCGATAATACAGCGAGCAGTCGATAACTCGCTTACGGTTTCACGCTCTCTCTCTCTCTCTCTCTCTCTCTCCTTTCCTTCC